TTCTCGCTCCGCCGTCGCTCTGCAGCAGCGGCGGATCGGCGAGGGAGCGAGGGACAAGCGGAAGCCACGCGGAAACGAAACGCATTGTGTTGGCCTAGCTCTGTTCTCAGCTGCCTCGATACGCCCGTTGAGAAACGCAACACGTACCGTGCTTGAAACGTCTGTCAATACATTGCGTGTTGGCTCAGCTGAGCCAACACGCAATGTTGCGTGTTGCGTGTTGCGTGTTGCGTGCGTGTTGCGTGTGGCGTCTCGGGGTAGCTGAGGCCCTGCTGTCTCATTCCCAGACCCCCGCCGTCGTGATTTATTCGCAACGTCGGCCGCCAGAGGTCTGGACCCCGTCCGCGGGACCGGTTTTTCATCCCGAGTCGTTTTCTGACGCTCCTGGGGCCGGGGAAGGGCCCCCCTCCTTGGGGCGAAAACAGTAAAAATGACCGCACGTTGTGATGTTTACAGGACGCGAGGAGGTCTGGGTATCTGGGCAGCTAAGGGGAGGAGGAGGAGGAGGAGGAGGAGGAGGAGGAGGAGGAGGAGGAGGAGAAGAAGAAGAAGGAGCAGAAGGAGCTGGAGGAGGAGGAGGAGGAGGAGGAGGAGGAGGAGGAGGAGGAGGGGAGGAGGAGGAGAAGGAGCAGAAGGAGCAGGAGGAGGAGGCAGGCAGCGATGAAAGAAGTGTCAGGGTCACTGACACCCCCCAGCAGGAGCGTGAGAAGCCAGGCAGGGGGCATTGGCCACCCTTGCCCAGCTCTTATGTGCCGAGGCTCGGCCACCATCTCAGCGGGAAAGTTGGCTGAGAGTGGCGAGGCGCCGCACACGCATCAATCGAGCGACAAGGGCACGCCCGATCGGGGATGCAGGCCCCTGAGGACCCTAGCAATGTTGCTCTCCTCGTTGGCCCGCGTTGAGGCCACGGGAGAGTGGCCTTTACAGGCCTTCGCCGTGAGTTTCGGATTCCGACCACCATTAATCGAAAAGGCCCCGCAGGCTAAACAGATAACGGCGGGGCCGAATCGTTCGGCGGGATGTCCGAGAGAAGTGCACACCTCCACCACCCCATCAGCAGCAGCAGCGGCAGGCAGCATCCCTCCTTCCTCCTCATGTAGCGGGCCTCCTGCGGCCTCGACCGCCACCTGCACCGACGGCGTCGAATCAGACACGTAGTGCTGGGGGGTCAGACGGAAGAAGCGCTCCGCAGTTGCCCGCTGAAGGGCCGAGGGAGCACAAGCCGAGTTACGCAAAAAACGATAGGACAGGGAGGTGCGAGCAAAACGATTGCACAACATACACCTGTATTCAGAGATAGCTGCACAGAACATCATCGTGTGAGATGTGACAGCAAGCGAGGGCGCGGGGGGGGCCTTGCGGGGCGCAGGGGCGTCGGCTGCTGGCTGCAGCTGCTCCGCCTTCCTCGCGGCCGCCTGGACCATCCAGGCAAAGGCCTCACCGTCCTTACGCGCGACCTGCAATCTGGATTTGTGCACATCAACGAGAACCTGCGCAACAGCATGGGACTGCGAGCCCAATTTGGCAAAATAATCGGCCCATTCATTTCCGACGAAATCAAACACTTCGGCCGCCCCTAGGGGCAGCACGTCGTCCAGGGAACGATGGGCGCTCGTCCAGCGAAAGGTGGGAGGCTCCGACTGTCCGACAACGTGCCTAATCTGCCTCCAGATAGACGCCTGACGAGAAGCACCTGATTCGCACAAAGAAGAGGGCTGCCGACCTGCCTTCACCAAACTGAGATGATCAGACACAATCTCTGCTGGGTGCGCTGCAATCTGGATGGCTCGAAGGGCAGCATAATGTTCCGCCCTAGGGACGGTCTGAAGCCTACCTGGAAGCGGGCCATAGATCGCTCTGACTACACAGCCAGACTCATCTAATTGGACCGCGGCCCAGCCGCAGCGCGTCAGGCCTTCCATCGAATTCGCCAGGCCTGACCCGTCCGTGTACACCCTCGGCCCCCAAGCTCCCCGCCAGTCACCCCACCCCATCGTCGGAAGCGAGTCGGCGACTGGCTCTGGAAAGGGCGGCAAGGGCGGCAGCCCATAATTTAAAAAGAAAGCCTCCTTGCCATTGTCTGTCTGGTAGCTCTTGACCAAGCTGGCACGGTGCTCCAAAACGTCGTCGGGCAAAGCTTCTTCAGGCCTACACTCAAGCATGCCATCGCAACCCCACCACTGGTGGGCCTCGGTGCCGACCTGCTCTTTACACACAAAACACAACGGCGTCGGGCGCAAATTAATCGAATGGAGGCGCTCAGGAGTCCAGACCCCCGCAGCCCACAAGGACCGCAGCGCCCCACGACGGCCCCCATCACGGAGAGCAAGCACTGATTTCCGAAGCGCACGACGCCAAACAGTGTGCCCCTGGTTGTCGGGGAAATGGGCCAGGACCCTCGCAACCTGCCATCTTCGAATTCCCTGCTCCAGAAAAATGCGCACGTCCTGAGGACATACACGGAGCAGGTCGATGGGCCAGCCCTCGTCGCTCACTAAGGTGGTGGGTCCTGACATTGACCACCCTATCCGAAGGAGCGTATACCATACCGAAGAAATCGGACCCCTGGCAAACTTCCACGCTGGATTGTGCTGAATTCTGTCTTTGATCGCGAGCCAAGCTCGAGCAAGACGTGAAGGAACGACCCTGGCTTCCCAGACACAAGTAGCAAACCTCACAACAAGCGGAACCGAAGCATCGAACACAGGGTCGAACCTATCGTCCTTTTGCGTGCATAGATAGGTAGTGAGGCAGGACTTGGGCTTAACTCCTACCATCCCTCCCGCAAACGTACGCAGCTCGCGGAGAGAAACATCGGACACACCGCTAACGCCACCTCCGTGGCTGGCTGCTGGGAGGAGCCCCGTTCGCCAAAGGGCCTTGACGGCCTCAGGTTGAGCCTGACGGAGCCCCCAGACTTTACGCCTCTTGGACTGCAAGACTCGAAGTCGGGCCTTCTCTTGGACCCGCAGAACCTTGACTCCGTGCATCTCGTGCCCTAGATTACGCATGCCGTGCTTGCTGCGAAAACCTAGCTGCGAAATGTGCCGTGCGAATGTGTCACGGGCGGCACAAGTGTTGGCCACAAACCCACTCTTATTCGCCTGCACACGCAATCCGAGGGGGGCAATATCATGGCAGAAAGACTGAACCGCCTGCGCAAGCACATGTGAGCTCTCTCCTGGATCTTTGCCTTGGCGGCGTTTGCCCACCCAGTTAAAACTCACGTCATCCATCAGGTCCCTGGGTTCCACAGATGGGAATCGCTCCACCGACAGGTTCAAACTTCTATATAGAAGCACCGTGAGCAGAGTGGTGGCTAGAGAACACCCAGCTAAGATCCCTTGGGCCGTGGAAACCGAGTACGACAAACTACCGAAGGCTCTAAGGGCTCTAGGCTGGGTGTAGTTCTGGATGGCCATCCAGGCCAGACGGAGCGGGAACCCTGTGGCCTTGGCCTCCCTCAAGAGGGCCTGGAGGTCTACACATTCATAACATTTCACCATGTCTATGAAAACAGTAACACAATCCTCTCGCAATTCGTGCGCAATCTCCGAAGCTAAATTTAAAGAGAAGGCGCTGTCACTGGACGATCGCCCTGGACCTGTCCCCCACACCGTGGGATGCGCGTGGTCACGCTCCCAGGCGACCGCTGTTGGACGGCGAACACGTCCCCAAATCCGAGTGAGGGTGTGCATTAGGGCGATCAGCCTGCAGCCGCCTGTGGACTTCGGAATACGCACAAGCTGAGTAAGTATGCGAGACGACGGCCAAATCAGAAGCTTTTCACATCGCATGAACAAGCGCGCCAGCGACTCCAGGCCGGCGTCCGAAACGAACCAGAACGCGCGGGGCGCGAACTCGAAGTGCCCGATGCCCGTGGTCCAGGGGAACTGCAGGATCGCACGCTTGATATCGTCCAGGGATATATGTGGTAGGTCGTCCCACTGCTCAGATGCGTGAGGTACTGGCTCAGGAAGATCATGCATGTGCCATATGGCGTCCCACTCTCGCATAGCTCTGTCCGCCATCTTGAATGGCTGCGCCTCCGAACCAGGGAGCAGGCAGGCAGCACAAACTTCCTGAAGAGCACGGCCTCGAGTGTGACGGTGTGCGAAACGACCTCCACCTTTGAACGACGAAGCCGCCCACTCTCGCCAACACGCCAAGGCTGTGTCATTCTGGCGCTTCTGGCACTCGTCCGCTCGACCGATGATGCTCTCAATCATGTCATTCGCACGACCACTGGTGACGAAACCGATGTCCATGTCGAAGAAGTTCCGAGCATCATCATCCAAGGCGTCGCGTAAAGGATCGTTGCGAATCCTTGTCATGAACTTGGTGATGTCCACTAGCATACGAGCAAACTTGTCGAAAGCCTTGCTGGACATCGTACCCGCCCGCTCCTGATGGCATAGCAGCACAGCCTGATTGACAAGGCTCTCTTTGTAGCGGCGTAAATGGCGGGCCCATCGGCCTGCTGCTCTCCAAGCTCTGTCTCGTGTTGTCTGCTCACCTCTGCGCCTAGGCGGCTCCCACCGCAACTTAGCATACTGCATTTGGGTGTCTCCGCCTCTGCCTCGGTAAGCCTCAGTGTGAGATCCGACAATATCATATCTGGCAAGCAACTCAATCTCCAACTGTGCCAAGACTGCGTCCCATGCTGCACTCAATGTGGGATTATCAATCGCTTGATCAATAATACGATTGACCTGGCACCAGTTCAAAGGGTATCTAGAGCACCCAGGCTTCGGCTGTCTCGAAGGGCGCTTCGGGCTGACCAACGTACGAGTCTTCAAAACAACATCCTTCCCCATGATAGGTAATACAACTGGCAGGTGTGGGAATGTGTCTCCATTTTCCTGCACATACGGGCGGCACGTTCTGGGGAGCAGATTGGTGGTCATCAAGAAATAGTCTATCGTCCTGCCTGGCAACGACTGCCTGCACGTCGAAACTGATGGGCGCGTCAACACACCTCCCAATCCATACAACCATTCCATGTCTCCGAACTCGGCCTGCTCCAGGTTGAAGTCTCCCGCGACGATCCAATCAAGACCCATCGCGTTGACAACTTCAATGTATTCACAGATCTCTGCCAAGATGCGAACGTTATTATCAGAGAGGCCTTCATTCACATAAAGATATGTTGAAATCACAATGAATCCTCCAGGCACCCCCCAATGGACGTGGGCTGCCAGCGCTCTCCCATTCGCCATGTGGGGCGTCGAGCGCCCTGGGGGGGCCGTGACCAGCACGTCTCCCTTCGCCAGGATGGCCAGGCCCGCCTGAGTGCCCTCCTGGTTGCCCGTCTTGGTGGCCGAGCTCCAGACTCCATGCCAGCCAGGGTCCAGAGCTCGATGCTGCAGATCTGGAAGACGATCCTCTGCGACGTGGTGCTCTTGTATAGCCACCACAGTGTGCTCGCAGGAGTCGAGGAAGCGCAATAGCTGGCCCTCCTCAGAGCAATTGAAAGTCACAATAGAACCCTTGCGGTCAGGAACATGATTACCATCTTCATCTGCACCTGTGTGAGAAAAGGGGAATGGGCGGCCCCAAGCGTCATCCTTGCCATCACCTCCGCCAGTCGTCCCAGCTGGAAGCCCAGCAGATCCGATGCCTGAGCAAACCTCCCCGTAGTCGTTGCCGCCCAGACGGCCTCCGCGGTCTTCCTCGTCATCACCTCGGCCAGTATGCCCAAACGGTGGCTCGCTGCGGTCTCCCGCTGCTATGCTGCGGTCTCCCGCTGCACTGCCGAGAGCCTCGGTGCGATTCCCAACCTGAAGCCCGACAGATCCGACCGCAGAGCAAGCCGCCTGGGAGCCAGAGGCAGCAGCAGGCCCCTGCCCTGCTCGTCGAGGAAGCAGTACGTCTCGATCGGCCGCAGACAGGCCGACCTTGCTGGAGGCCTTGCCTCGGCGCTGGCGCGCTCTCGCCTTAGTCAAGGCCTGCTCGCGCGCTCCAACGCGCTCCAGCAGCTGGGCCCTCCGCATGCTGCGGGCAGCGCTGGCCTCGGCCAGGGCCGCGGGAGAGCGGCTGGAGCCTGCCGCCGCCGACGCTTGCCCGAACAGCGGATTGGCATCCAGCCCTCCAGCAACCGTGCCGATGGTGCCAGATGCCCTTGCCAGCGGCAGGAGCGCCAGGAGCAGCAGCGCGCGCAGCAGGCTAGGCAGCAGACAGCACCTTGGCCCTCTTGACCTCGCGCCAGCCGCCCAGCGCGTCGGTGATCTTGCGCACCTGGCCGCGGAGCTCCTCGCACTCCTGGGACGGGTCCACGCCCGAGCTGGAGAGGAACTCGCGCAGCTCCTCCTCGGTCGCCGTGTCGGGGTCTGGGAGGTCTGGGCCTGCCTCCGACTCCTGGCGCCCTGGCTGGGCACAGGCTCAGCCTTGGCCTGGGTCGCCCTTGCCTCGGCCGCAGCCTTGGCCTCCTGCGCTGCGGCCTCGACCTTACGCTGAGGAGGAGGAGGAGGAGAAGGAGCAGAAGGAGCAGGAGGAGCAGCAGGAGCAGCAGGAGCAGCAGCAGGAGGAGGAGGAGGAGGAGGGGGATGTTGTCTCATTGTCTGTTCCCCTGCATCCTCCGCCCGCTGGCGGGGCTGCTGGCCGCGCCGCCCAGCACGGACAGCCCGCCGGCGGACAGCCCGCCGCCTCGGGCGGGCGCGGATGCCGCGGCGGACAGCCCGCCTCCGAGGCTGCTGCGGGGCCGGCACCGCCTGGTCGGGCCCAGGGAGGGGCAGAGCGAGGATCGACCACCCTCAGATTCCCAGAGATTCCTCCTCCTCATCCTCCTCCTCCTCCTCCTCCGCCTCCTCCGCCTCCTCCGCCTCCTCCTCCTCCGCCTCCTCCTCCTCCTCCTCTCCTCCTCCTCCTCCTCCTCCCCGACGCTCCAAAAACCATGGAGCGGGCGGATTTGGGCTGTGTTCAGCCTCTGGGGGCCCTCGCCAGGCCTCGGGAGCATCAAACAATTATCCAGGACGAAAAACCGGCCCTGGGGAAATGGTCTCGTCCTTTATCAACAAAGATTGGAGCAGCTGGATGTTTGGATCTGGGCTTTGCAATTTTCTCACACCAGTCGTTTTTGTCAGCTTTCGGCCCCCGGGACCTTCATAGGTCGATCGGGCTCGAAGAATGACGCCGAAGGATGGGGTCCAGGGCTCCGGTCGTGATCTTCGGAGATGTTGGGCGAGGATCGACTCCAGTCGAGCACCTGATTACGTAAGATGCCTCCTCCCAGAAAGCTGGGACAGCTTTTCTTCACCAAGCTGCCAGAGAGCTGGCCCGGTTTCTTGCGCGCCTTCGTCCCGCCAGCGTCCGCGATAGAAATTGGCCCAGGCTTTTGTATTACAAAGCTTCGGGAAGCTGGCCCAGATTTCTTAAGTCATGCAGTCGGCCCGCTGAAGAAGGAACCCGTGTCGTTGGTGAGGGGCTCAGTGCATGTTCCTTCTTTTACAGTCTGTCTTGGGTGATCCTTGGGCTTTCGATGGGAAGATCGAAGTTTAACTTATGAAAGAAAGGGGCCTCGCTCCTTATTGAAGGGACCCTTTTCGTTGGAGAGGGGCCCAGTGTTCCTTAGTGAGTTTGCAGTCTGTTTTAGGTTGTCCATGAGTCTTCGATGGGAAATCGAAGGCTAACTATGGAAGAAAGGGGCCTCGCTCCTGAGGAGGAGGAGGAGGAGGAGGAGGAGAAGACGGAGACGGAGGAGGAGGAGGAGGAGGAGGAGGAGGAGGAGGAGGAGGAGGAGGAGGAGGAGGAGGAGTCCTTGTGGCAGCGTTTCGACCGTGCACGCAAGAGTGGCCCTTTGCCGGTTGGACCTTCGGTGCGGGCCCGCCCGGGGCCCCTCGATCGCCGCAAGCATAGTGCAATGGTGGCGCCTTGCGCGCGTGGGGTCGGCCCCCTCTCCGCTGCCCCCCTCGAGCCGCGCACCAAAGGTCACGCGGGGGGGGGCCGTGAGGGGGGGCGGGCCTGCTCAGAAGGCTCGGAAGTCCCCTGGCCTTCGGAGCAGTGTTCGAAGTTCCCCCCCCCCGAAGACACAGAGAAATTGTTCCAGAAGGCGCGAGGGCTTCTGAGAAGGCCCGCCGCCTTCTGAGGAGGCCTTCTCCTTCTCACTTCCACCTCCAGGCGCGCCGCCGGATCTGGTTTTTTAGGTCACAACTCGGCTCTCCAGTGGCCGTTCGGGACGATCTGGGCGCCCCCGGAACGCTCTCGGCGAGGCGCAGCCGCTGGGACACATCCCGAGGGCGGAAAGCCGCCAGGAAACTAAAGCGCCCAAGCACCTCGAACCTCGAACCTCGAAAGCCTCCTCCTCCTGGCTTCCCCCCCCTCGCTCGCCGCCGAACTCCTGTGCGCGGCCGGGAGGAGGTGCAGCGGGCCTTCGCGCGGCTGTGCTGGGACTCCGGCGCGGAGCCACTCTACGAGGGGCACGCGCCGGCAGCAGAGCCGGGCCGCGCGGTCCTCCTGTGCGCGGCGGAGCTGTGGCTGGTCTGCCTGGAGCCACCGCGGGTGGAAGCGAGGTCGCGCGGACCTCGGGCGGGGAGCACGCGTGGAGGAGGGGAGGGGGGAAAATGGAGGGGGGGGGAGGAGGGAGGAGGAGGAGGAGGAGGAGGAGGAGGAGGAGGAGGGGGGGAGGAGGAGGGAGGAGGAGGAGGAGGAGGAGGAGGAGGAGGAGGAAGGAGGAGGAGGAGGAAGGAGGAGGAGGAGGAGGAGGAGGAGGAGGAGGAGGGCCGTAGCCATTTTGGCTCAAGGCTAAACGAATGATGCTAAAGTAATGTAGCGGATCATGATTAGCTTTGGGAAGGGTCCGTCGCCCTGATCGAGCGACCCTCCTGCCCACTGCCTTGCTGCTTGCCTGCCCAGGCTGCAGCACCCAACGCTTTCATTTCCACGGCCTTTCGGCCCAACTTCTTGCCTGCTCGGGCGCCCGCGGCGACCGAGCTAGCTTCGGGTGCCTGCCGATGGCCGCGGGGCGCAGCGTTCCGCCTCTCGCTCGCCCGCCAGGGAGCTGGCGCCCGCAGGGAGCTCCCAGGACGGGCGTGCTGGCGCGGGCGTCCACCGTCGTGCTGCTGGGGGCGATCCTCTGGCTGGTGAAGGAGACCCGTGGGGCAGGTCGTCAGGCAAGGGAGCGGCTAGTGCTAGACAGCCTGGGACCCCCGACGCCACGCAGCCCATGGAGTCCCAAGGTGCTGGAGGAGCTACGCCTGGAACACCAGCAGCAACGGCAGCAGCATATGTTGAACTCAATGACGATGCCCGAGCTGACCCTCCACAGGATATTGATTCCTTGCTGGCTTCCCTCAAGCGAGAGATGCAGGCCACTCTGGACTCAAAGTTCGCCTCGATCAAGCATGAGATTGTGGCCGAGGTAGCTTCTCACACTACCCACATGGTCAAAACGATGTCCGCCAATCAGGAAAGGACCAACACACAAGTTCGAGGAGAATTGGCGGATCTTCGGGCACGGCAAGAAGCAACGGCAGCCACGCGGTCACAGTTTCGGTAAAAACTGGACGAGATGCGCAAGGCACTGTTCTTGGCTGAACAACCGGTTCCTATCAAAGACTTGGAGGCTCTCACGGAGTGGGACAGGGCGGCGGATACGACTATCCTCGTGGCAAACATGCAGGCCAACGTGTCCAGCGACGCCTTCAAGACGACCATCAAGCCGTGGCTCGACGAAGCGCAGATCGACGAGTCCCATTGGTCGGCGGTGGGCCCGTCGCCTGCTCGGAGGTTTGTTTTGCAGCTTTGCAGTTCTCGGGAGACACCAATGCTGCCACTCGGCGTGCTGCCAAAGCACGTAAGGCGCTCAAGCAGACGGATGGCACGTGGAGAACCTTCCAAGCTACCACGATTGAACAAGGTGTGTCGCGGGTATTCGTTGGCTGTGACAAAGCTCCGAAGCAGATCAGAACAGAGATCCAGACGAAGTACGTGGCGAGCGCTGTGCGGGAGGCGTATCCACATCTACGGCATCGACATGACAGGCCCAAGGGTGTGGTATATCTCGACGGCCCCCCTTGCCTCTCGCGACGCTCCCACGAGACCCCTATGGAACTATGCTCGCGTTGAATAACATGGAGTGGACAAGGCGGCAAGTATGGCGGCGTTCAGTATTCGTTTCCGTGCAGATGAGACAGTGCAGTGGCGCAGTTAACTTAACATTCAATACTTGGAAGGAGGACTTTTCGCAGCAGCTGAATGTCCCGATGAGATTTCTAAGCTGGAATGCTAGAGCACTGCTGCACCACAAACCTGCTACGCGGAAGCGCAAGATGAACATGCGATCGAACTTGGTGCGTGATCAAGCGGTGGTGGGCCTACAGGGGATTCATGGCACAGGAGAAGCGATGAATCATGAATGCTATGCGAGACGCACTCGTGGAGCCAAGTTTCTCTCGATTCCCTCGCATGAAGCTGGTGGAGTTGCTCTACTTCTCCTTCATCTCTCACAAGAGCAAGCTGTTGAAAGGATCAGAATTGGAAGGATTCGCTATGAGGCACTTATACCTGGACGCGTACCGAGGTCATCTATTAAGGCTCGTGCCCATGATTTGCGTGCGGACACATTGCTGATCATATACAATGTGCACGATTATGGCTTATCTCGGAATGAGGTGGTTACTATCTCTTCGCGCATTCGGGCGGCGGCGGAGCTTGCGGCGCCCCCCCCCCCCCCCCATACCGTGCCACTGCGCTGCTCATGGGCGACATGCATTATCAAGAAGCAGCTCCGATGCATCTTCATGTTCCTGAGATTGACAAAGGATTGGTTCTTCAACCAAGGCAGCGGGAAGTTGGAGATATATGGGCCGATGCTCTGACGGGTCTCACAGAGTGGGACCCCGAGGCCCCGACTCACTTCATCCCGTCGGACCAGAGATTGACACTATTGGATCGTATCATGGTAAGTACCCCTGTGTGGATTCTATTGCAGTGGTCTATCAGTGCGACTGTCCCTTGCCATCCTGAGAAGTTGCATGACATGGGGATCTCGGACCACGCACCCGTGCAGGTCACTCTTTCCTTCAAGCACCAGGGGGGGCCCCATGGGCCGGGGCGTGCCAAGATTTGCATGCCAGGCTCCGGAATACAAACTATACCTTGATCTTCTGATTCAACACTCGAGCGCCCTGGGGCCGAAAGCGCCAGCGCACACCTCTGGGACAAGATGGGCCGAATACAAACGTCTTCTGAGGGAAGCTGCCAGGCCGGCCAGGAACAAACTTGTTTCGATCCCCACCTTCGGAGGCCAAGTTTGTCATATTCAGACCGATCTCTAGAGCAGTGCATTATAATGATGTCCGTTTGGCCAGGTCGCTTCTTGTCTCGGGGGCCCTGGCCTCGGAGTTTTTTTACAGATTTCCAGCGATCA